CGACACGGCGATGACCACAGCATCGGGCTCCACACCCGTGCCGGCGGACCAGGGCCATCAGCCCCAAGGGGATCTACACACCCTCCTCACCTCCCTTCTTGCGCCCATCCAGGCGCAACTCGCGACCCTCGCGCCCTTAAAGACGCAGGTGGCGACCCTTGCCGCCGGCATGCAGCAACTCCAGGACGCTGCATGTCCGTCATCTCCTTGCTACCAGTCCGGGTCCCCCGTCCTCCGATAGGGTGGCCACCGCGGAGCTTCCTCCTCCGTTGCCCCTGACCCGGCCATGGTGGTGACTATCCACGCCCCTAGCACGACGGCCGCCACGAGTCAGACCCCCCCTTAGTCTACGGGCGCACCTGCCCAGATCCTGGTCACTATGGCCACGGTACAACAACCCGCTACCATGGTCTCAGCTTTTCCGGGTGCCCCGCTCCTTCCCCCCCTTCGCACGACCGCAGCGCTACCTGACTCTCCCCCCTCTGGGATGCCCCGCGCCGCTTGTGTGTCCAACCCGTCCACTCTTCCTCTTGCCACCCCTCGATCGACCTATGTTCGAGGTCTCGCGGACGAGATTGCCCAGCTCCGGGCCGACCTTGCCCTTTTACGCCTTCAGCCACCCCCACCCTCACAGGTGGCCGCGCCTTCGGGCGCACCCCTTACCTCCTCTACCCTTCCTCCCATGCAGGCTCGCTTTCCGCGCCCTGCACCCTATACAACTCCTTCCTACCTTCTTCCTACTCCCGCGGTTGCTGCGACCTCTTCTACCGCAGCACCCTCGCARCCTGCCGCTGTTGCCACCGGCGCTCCCCCATGCGGCCCGGGCGCACAGTCAGTTGCGCCCCTTTCTCCAGGACCTGCGCCAACTTACTCAGCCGTGGCACAGGCCTCCGCTTCTCGATCCCCTCGCCGCCAAAACAGTGGCGCACCACTCATCCGCTTGTCGGACATTGCCTTGTATGACGGTAGAGGCATACGCGTGTCTCGGTGGCTGCAGTCTGCCACCCGCACACTCCAGCTCATGGGCGCCACACCCGAGACGTGGGTGGGTCACCTCTCCACTCGCCTGCGTGGCGGTCCTTTCGAGGCCTGGGAGGATTTCTATGCCTACTCCCTTCGTGAGGGTCGGACTCCGACCTTCGTGGATTTCCAAGCATTCCTCGAGGATCGGTTCGGAGCCCGATATGACGTGACTGACGCCTTGGAGCGTGTCGTCACTACACGCTAGTCAGGCTCTGGTGGCGCTGCCAGCCTGGATCACCACATCCAGGTCTTTCAGGACGCCCGCCTCGTTTGCGACGTGGCGTTCCTCCCCAAGGCTGCCCTTATCGATCGTTTCTTGGCCAGCCTTCCGCTCGAGTACCGCTCCGAGCTATGGCGGTACGAGTTCACATCGGCCCCACAGGCTTACGAGGCCGCCAGGGACCACCAGCGGATGCGAGCCCGTCTTCACCCCACCTCCTCCTCCCAGCCCCAGCGCACGGGTTACGCCTCCTCCTCCTCTCACGGCACATCCCAGCGCCGTTCCCCTTTCCGCGGTCCCCCCCGCCGTTCCACGCAGCAGGGCCGCCACTTCTCGCGCCGTTTCAGCGCGCTGGAGTATGGTGAGCAGGACGTTGTTGCCCCACTGTCACATGAGGGCGACCACAGCGACGACCTCGATCTCTGCGAGGCCGTCCACTATCACTTGGAGGGACCCTCCCTGCGGCTGAGCTCCTTCAGCTCGCGCTCTCTGCCCTCTCTCGGGCACGCAGCCGCCTCGGTCACGCTGGCGCGTCGCCTCCCGAGGTCCCTCACGAGGACCTCCCTCAGGGCTTCGTCCCTCCTCGCACTGTCCTTTCCGCTGAGGAGCGCGCGACTGTTTTGGGACGACGTGGGTGTTTGCGTTGCCGCTTGGACGGTCATACCTCCTCGCGGTGCCCTTACACTATCGCCCTCGACCGCCACTACGCTGATCTTTCACGTCAGCGTCGTGCTCAGTCCCCCCCCGGCGCCTCACGTCCCCGCGACGCCTCCTAGCCACGGTGCAGTGTACACCTGCGCCCTCCTCAGTAGTGGGTTTCCCGACATCTCCGTCGCAGTTCACCCCTCTCGCTACTGGAGTTGAGGTATCGCAGGACTCGATACAGTGTACTCAGCCCTCTGTCGCAGTACCGTCTGCGCCTCCGCAAACCACCGTCTCCCCTCCTTCCCCGCGGCGACTACCAATGCGTCGAGCCATTCGCTCAGCCCGTTGCAGCGAGCAGCTTGCTACTCGCGACGACGTTGTGTCCTCTCTTCTGGACTTGAGCATGCTCCAGGCTCGTAAGGAGCGACTCACCCTCAATGTCGCTGCACTGCGTCGCCTTCTCGCCATCCTCTCTGACCCTGATCGCACCCTCCCGATTATCCCAGTACGACTCGGGACCTCCATGAGGGTGTACTCAGCGCTGTGGGATTCCGGTTCTCAGGGCGACTTCATTCACCCACGCGTGGTGAAGGAAGCCCGCTTACCCACGACAGGGTCTCCAACTCCCATCTCCGTTACCCTAGGGGATGACAAGACCCAGCGCTTCTTCGATCAGACGGTCACCGACCTCCCCTTCTTCCTCACTCTCGAGCCGACTGATCGTTCCCCGGCGTCTCGTCACCACCGCTCCTTTGCACATTTCGATGTGCTGGAGACGGGGTACGACTTCATTCTCGGCACTCCATGGTCTCGTCGGTTCCGAAACACCGAGGCCGATTGGGCGACCAACACTCTCGTTCTCAAAACGAAGTGTGGACAGACGTATCGCGTACCTTTCATAGGTACCACGGCGATACCACGCCCAGATCCTCCTCCCCCGGAGCCGTCAGTGCCCACACCATCTCCCTCAATCACTGTCACCTCGCCTCAGTTCGCTCACTTTATTCGACAGAACGACGTCACCTTCTTTATGGTGGACGTGACGGATCTCTTACACTATGATCCACCCTGTCCCGACGCCGAGCTCATCCCTCTGGAGCCAGATCCTCCCTCTATCTCCATGGCTCCCATCTCTACTTCCGTCCCTCCGCCGTCCGTCGA